GATATACATAGTACCCCCAACTCAGCTTCAAAGACCCTCTCGCGTCTATATTGGGGGCAGACGGGTCCCTGTGGCTGGATTTTGGCACCGTTACTGGTATTTTTAGAAAAGCTGATTATGCTGCCACATGTCAGTCTAGCGGTGACATTGTACATCAGTTTAAACACACACGGTCTTGTAGTTTCTCATTTTACTTCATCTGTTCATTAGCTTAATTTTATTTAATGATTTTATATAATTCTGGTAATTTTTTCAGGATGTTTTTTTTAAATAATAAAAAAATATTGTTTTTATTTTATTTAAAATATTATAAATATCTTTACTGTCACTTTTGTTCAAGTTAATGCATCCTTGCTACGTTGTTTTTTTCTACTTAAAATTCCTACAACTGATAATAATTGATAATTGAATTTGAGAATGGTTTCTGAAGGATCATGTGACACTGAATGCTGTAATAACAGTTGATGAAACTGTAGCTTTGTCATCACATGAATACATTTCATTTGAAAATATTTTAACATAGGAAACAGTTGTTTTAAATAGCAATAATACTTCACAATATTACTGTTTTTACTGTACTTTTGATCAAATAAATGTAGCAATAGTAAGCATAAGAGAAAATATTTTAAATATGTTTATTATTCCAAACTTTTTTGACCAGACGTCTACACGTTGTGTAGAGATATACATAGTGTCAGGGTGCGCCCAGTCAGTTATGGGACATTACGGCAGCGAATCTGTATATACATATATATATAGTTTATATATATATATCCCATATATATATATATATATATATATATATATATAAAGTGGTGTCAAAATTTAAATTTAAAATATTTTACGCAATTAACACAGGGGCGGACTAGGGTTGGCCTCCCCACTCACAACTGCTGCTTCTGTCACTTTTTCTCTTGACAAGAAGTGCATTTATTCAGTTGCAGAACGACTGAGAATGGCAGACGTTTCAGACGTGCACTCCTCTTCACTTCGGCGAGTTAAACGAGTGCGGAAACGGTACTGTGCTCGCAGCGCATGCTCTTCAATTGCACGCACAAAGCTGCCGGCGGGCGCTGTCAGGGGCGAACTTACCCATTAGGCAAAGGTGGGCGACTGCCTTGGGCCCCCAAAAGCCAAGAGCCCCCTAAAATGCTTTTCATATAGGATATGCGCAGCCTGTATTACATATACAATATACATATACGTATATGGATGCCGTCTGCCCAGTTATAGCTACGGGACATTATGCCAGCAAATCTGAAAGTGTGAGTTAATTGATTAACCCCCAACCCCAAGTTAATTGATTCACCCCAAGTCTCCAAGCACATACATGTGAGGTCAAATCAATTCAATTCACATAACTAGAATGGTACATTGAAGGCTAGCAGCCTATCTCAGCCCTTACTGAGTGAGAAATATGTTGCCATTTTTGAACTCACCCTGGGTTAGACAGCCCAAGGACACGTGAAACTAAATCTAATGTCAACGATCATATTCAAATTCTCAACAGCTGATAACAACCCTTCCAATAGAAATAGCCTCCTGGATTGGGATCAAGACCTGGCTTTTCGTCCTAAATGAGAGTCTAGGAGAAAAATAAAAAAAGTGATGATTTCTGATATGAACAACGAAATGCACAACATCTGTATACTTCAACACACCGTCTCTATTAACTATATCAAGATTATGGAGATATGAATCTGTATAATCTACGCTTCATTTGATCTGATGTGAAATAATTCCTTAAATAATAAATACTGTGGGTTTAGAGTCATGCTGTGAGTCTGCTGGCCTGATTTTAAGGGTTCATATATAAAAGGATAAATGATAATCAGCAAGCCATCCATGATGTAAAATACCCACAAATTATGCAAATGTCACACTTTTGATTTTAATTTTAACATAAATGTCAATAGCACAAAGGAAAATGTAAACTACAATGATCCCAGTGCTTAAAAATGGATGACTGTGATAACAAAACCTTTGGTCGCAACTAACAGAATTCCTTGAAATTTTGGACAGACTATCTCATTTCACCACACTGAAGGCAGTTTTTTCTGTCTGTGAATTTTGAGTACTATCGATCCTGTCCCTTCTGCTTTCAGACAAACAAGTCAAACTCTCAGACATACTGACCCCAAATACTGACATACTGTTTTGTTTTGTTGAAAGAAATGAATACATTTATTTAGCAAGGATGCATTAAAATGATACAGTTTCTATTTCAAATAGATGCTGTTCAAATACATTTCTATTCATCAAAGAATCTTGGGGGGAAAGTATCACAGTTTCAACAAATATATTACAGTAAGCAGCACAACTGTTTTTAATATTGATAATGATAAGATGTTTCTTGAGCAGGAAATCAGCATATTATTAGAATGATTTCTGAAGGATCATGTGACACTGAAACTTGGGTAAGAGCTGCTGAAAATTCAGTGTTGCATCACAGGAATAAATTACATTTTAAAATACTGTATATGAAAACAGAAAACTGTTATTTTAAATTGAAATACCATTTCACAACGTTACTGTCTTTACTGTATTTTTGCTTCGGGTGGGCATAAGAGACTTCTTTCAAAAGCATTAAAAACATCTTACTGACACCAAACCTTTGAACACTAGTGTGGATGTAAATGGAGGGAAAACATGAGTGAATCACAAACTTAGTGTTTTATAGCACTGTTTGCAAATTTGTTTGTTAATTTATTTGTCTTTTAATGCCCTTAAGGTAATTTTTAGAATAGCACTTTGGTCAACTTGTTGTTTTTAAATGTGCTTTAGAATGAAAGAAAAAAAAGAAAGAAAAAAAGACTTAGTGTGGAAATTTTGACAACAGGCGACTATTTTCATGCAACCAAAATATTCATGACCCCATATTTTCATGACCCCACAAAAGTAACCACGCAATGAGCCATCTCTTCCTTTTTCCTCTTTCCTGTACACGCTTACTCACATGCACACAAAAGATGCTTTATGATCTAGAGAGAAATAAATAACAATAATGCCAAATTAAAAAAAAAAAAAAAGTAGCAGGTGGGATAAGTGACCATGAAAAATTATTCCACATTACATAAGGATAATAAAAATAAATCTCTTTTGCTCTTCCCAGAACTAGGAGCAGTGCAAATGTTCTTTACGGCAATGTGTTAAATATGCATGAACACTGAGCTAAGTAACTTTGTTAGCCTCCTCTTTGCAAAACCTCTTGTGAACAATAAAACATTTGTATGTGTAATATATGTAAATCCTATATTTTAATACATTTTCAGTTTCCTGTTTGTATAGCACAGATAACTGCAAATCTGCAAAATGTACAGTATAGGTCCCTGCACTTTTGCATATTAGACAGATCATCCTCTGTTATGTACTGTAAAGTGAGATCAGTTTTCACACCAGTTAAAGGGACATGTCAACATTTACTCACCCTCATGTTCTTCTAAACCTGTAAGACTTTTTTTCTTCAGTGGAACACGCACAAAAAGAGATGATGGTTTCAGTCAACATTCACTTTTTTTAATTGTATGGAAAAAGATGCAATGAAAGTGAGGTTTCTAAGGCTGACAGTCCCTAACATCTCTTTCTGTGCTCAACTGAAGAAACAGTCACACGAGTCTGGAAGAGTAAAGGACGACAGTTTACATGTTTAGGTGAACTATTCCTTTAATGAGATGAGAAGGACATCAGTAATGATAATCTAATGATGCTAATAATAGTCAATGGTAATTGTTGGCAGCAGAATCATTTATATAACAGATGATGTAAAGGCACAGTACAGGCCAAAGTATCACAGACTATTACTCTGACAAATGAAAGCTGCTGGTAAAGACATAACCAGCACTGAATCCTGAAACATGTTGTGCTAACGGTTAGTGAATACAGTAGATAGTGCAAGCTTAAAGCAACACTGAGTGTTGTTCACATGCTGTATGTTATTTACCCAAGGCCACCTGTGCAAACTCTCACAATAACTGACATGAGCTTCAGCTCTTTGTGTAGGTGCATTAACCCAGGGAATCTCTAGATCTCTGTTTATGCAGACATGACACTCAGAATGAAATACAAATCATATGCCCAACTTTAGGAAACAAACAGCGTCACACCACATTTATCCTTGGGTTAATGTCTTTTAGACACCGACTAAAGGCCTGTTCACTTCTAACCCTGGCTAAATTTAAAACTCTGCTCCAGCAAACGATTCTAAAATGCCTCAGGGCTTACCTTACTAAATATTAATGTGCATTGTGCAGTAGTCGACACAGATGTTTTGTTGTGTTTTAGAAGATTAAGTTATTAAAACAGGTTGCTTGCTGTATTTGTCCAATCAATTTTACTGACCTCATACATATGCAAATAAGGACGTTAACCCGGAGTTTCAAACATGCAGTGTGAAATCTATAAATAATGACTAACCCAGGATAAAGTGTGAATAGTGTGAAACATGTCACAAGATAACCAATTTCAAATGTGACATTTTAAAGTAATACATTTTTGCAGCTACATTTAGCCTACAGATAGGCTATTAGAGCTTGTGTATATTTTTCAATCTACTATCTCAAATCTCTGTCGTTAATGTTTTAAGTTATCATTTCAGCAACGACGTAGTAAATACAGTAGGAGGTCATTACCATAATTATTCTAATAAACCGCATCAATAAACTAATGAAGGACAGTTTAAATACTAGAGAGGGAGAACTGTTAGTTACTTTGCGCTGATTATTCATATTCAACATCCGGTAGCGAGAGCGACACAGGCTACAATCTACATGCTACTGAAATCAACGAAAGAATAAAAAAAGACTGAAACTATTCCTAAATAGTCTATGGTATAAAATCGTTGAGCGACGCGAACAGTATAATGGGCCAGACAGGATCAGGAGCATGGAGTAAAGACCGAGTCCGAATCATTGAGCTGCGTTTCGTGCTCGGTTCATTCATACATACAGTAACAGTAACCCGCAGCACCAGCTCTTGCAGTTTTAATGTAGCCTTCAGCTTACCTTCGAGACGTCATGGCCGTCCTGGGAGCTGTCAGATGTCAAAAGTGTGTAAGCGGACTGAGGGGGAAAGAGTAATAAAACGATTCTGCCTTCGCCGAGTGAGTCACTGCAGCAGAGCTGAGCGCGAGCGAGGGGCGTCAGTACACAGCGCCCAGCTCTCCAGCTCTCCAGCTCTCACTCACTCTCTCCGCCTCTCACTAAATGACTGGAAAAACTTTATCCAGCCGGTTCAAAACGAGTCAGTTATTATAAAGCTTGTACCATTTCCCAGGACCATATGACAGGATTAACCAGCCAGAAGTTGACACAACGACTCATTTTATTTTCTCAGTATATAAAGACCGGACGGTTTGGGCTGTAACACCGTTATTTAACCATTTATAACCGAGCTACAAAGGTGAAATCATAATCATACATAAATGCATACATACGTACGTACATACATACATACGACTATGTAAATATATCTATCTATCTATCTATCTATCTATCTATCTATCTATCTATCTATCTATCTATCTATCTATCTATCTTTAAGTAACACACTGGTAAATGGCGCTCTTAAATATTAACAAAATGTACATTACTATTTTTTTAGCAGATATACACAGTATGCATTCAAAATTACAGTCCAGGAAAAATCTTTCTAAAAATGTGTAGGTCACTTGACAAACCAATGTATTATATAATGGAAGCCAATTTCTGCCACAGAAGAAAATCATTGGTAAATCATAATTATGAGTTATGACCTAAAAAGTCAAGTCAATGTTCTTTTTGTCATAAATATAATTTTCATCTCACAATTTAAACCTTAGAAGTCATGTGATGTAGTATGTCATACTTTTTACTCTCATAATTATAACTCTGTATATCATAATTATGACTTAATGAGAAAGTTAATATCATTAATTAAAACAAACAAAAAAAATCACTGTAATATAAATATTAACTGTAACATATAAAATAAACATGAATTAAAATATAAAAACTTGATTTCAGATAGTCAAGGCAACATTTCTTATTTTCGCTTAGTTTAAGTACTAAAATAACTAAAACCAAATAAATGAAAACTAAGAATGTTACATATGAATATAACATATGAAATATTATAATGTGATCTTATGTGAGGGATATTTTAGCACCTATTGGCACCTGAATTCTTCTCTGGCGGCGGTGTTTCGGACATTTAGAGGTAAACACACCTCTGAGAGGCCCATAAATAATGAGGTGGTGTACATACACACACACACACACAGTATACTACATTGACTTATTTTCCTCCAGTCTTATTTTAGCAGTTCCTTCCTTGTAATTATCACCTTTATTTCATTTCAAGGCATGTTTATTATTACTCTGTTAGCTGTAATGCTGCTATTTTTGTTAGGAGATAGAAGATACACAACAGCAATGTTGACTCTACTTTCATTTCAGCAGTTTCCATTTGGGCCTGACCCCATTTGCATTGGGGTGATTTGAAGGTGGCAGCTGTGGGCACCGCAGCAGTGCCATGGCTGCCATGACGTCACTGGTCCTAAGGAAGATTAATCTGCCAGGGACGTGGTTATGCAATTTTCTGAAATGCAGGGCTTTATCTATGGATTTCTCTCTCTAGACAGAGAGTCTGACCGAGTATTCTCTATGCAATGTAAGAGCCAATGCAAACAATGTGTCTGTAATTTCATACTCGAGGACAGTGTGTAACTGTGTTCATACATTTCACCCATATGAAGGCCTACTGGGAAGCATCAATAACACTACAATATTCATAATGTGTTATATATTATATATTATGTCTGCCACATAAGTAAAAAGTATGCTTTGGTTCATTGTAATTATGAGATGACATAGAAAGTAAAATTAATTCTAAAATATCTTATGTTGAATAATTTAGCAAGCATAATTATGAATCCTCATCTCATGATTTCAACTTTTTAAGTCATATGATATATTATGTCAGAATTGTAACTTTTACTCTCATAATTATCACTCAGTATGTCATAATTATGACTTGGTATTTTGACTTTTTATCATAATTAGTATCAGAGTTATGATAAATTAACTAGAATATTTTTCCTGTACTGTAATATAAAATAAACATGAACTGAAATATATAATATATAATATAAAACTTATTTTATTTCTCATGTTTGTTTAGTTTAAGTTGAAGTACTAAAATAACTAGAACTAAATAAATGAAATCAAAAACTTAATAAAAGCACATAGACATAAAACAGTTATCTGCAATAAAATGAAAACATAAATATAAAAATGAAAAATATATAATTCGAAATATTAACAAAAACTATAATAAAATAGTTAACCTTTTAATGTCATAATTATGCTTTACCAAAGCATGATTTATTTTTAATTTTTTTGGTGAAAATGGACTTCCATAATATATCTATATATGTAATTATATATATTTAAAGCTGCAGTCCATAAGTTTTGCCTCTTTGTCGCCATCTCTGTTTGAAAAACTGCAATTGCAGCTGTTTGTGGAATTATCTTCCTTGCATGGGTTGTGTGCCGGCATGGCTCCAGCGTGGATGCATCTAATGTAATGTAAATGTAATGTGTGGCAGTCAGTCACCACACCAGTGTGGATACTGTACTTCAGAATCACAGATTCGAGCCTACGTCTAGGAATATATGACCCAAATAAGAATTTTCACCGTATATTGTCATCTGAACAAGTAAGTGACAAGTCTGCCACTTTTGTTCTGACCAACTGAGAAAAAAGCATTACAATAAATCTCGCTACCAATGGTGATTTAATCTAAAGATCGGTGAGCTCATATCACAACAAACCATGCAAATTAATATTATTTTTATACTTTATTCTCAAATTATTAATGTTAACAACATCAGCATTGCCTATAGTGTGTATTAGCGTGTAGATT